AGAGTTATAAAATTAAAAATTGCTGGTGGCAATTCACACAATGGGCTGGGGATCCTGAGACGTTCTTTGGGGTTGGAAGAGGTGTTTGGATGTGTATCTCTGTGGTTACTGTTTGTTTTCTGTCTTTTTTTTTTGAAAGAAAGTGAAAAAATAGATTAAAACAGAGACAACACTCGAAACATATTTTGTTACGTTGTGTAAGATGCGGTAATAAGATTGAAAGCTGCTTTGAGCTCCAGGCACCTTTGATGGAAGCTGCCTCTCCAGATCTGTCACTAAGTGTCACCCGTGCTGGTTTCTTGTGCAGCAGAGGCAGATCCGAGTTCCGCCTCCCATGGGTTGCAATCTGAGCTGTCCACCTGTGAGTGTGCTGGGGATTTCTGCGTGTGTTTTCCTTCCCAGCTCCCCCAGTCCATTTCCAATACTGAAGGTGATGTTGGAACCGATAATGGAATGACCTTGAGGCCAAAAAAACGCGCAGTGAATAACGTTCAATAAAATGGACTATGACAGGTATTTCATAAAAGACGTTTGCGGACAGACGACTTCTCACAAAGAAAATAAACTAACATTGCTTTGTTGTTCAGGTGCCAAAGTGATTTGCTTTTCTCTGCTCCAGCAGCTTCTGATTGACTTTTTCTCTTGTGAAAAATGAGGGAAAGAAAAGAAAAAGATTGCTCTGTGTGAGCCATTCAATACGAAGGCAGACCATTAATTGTTATTTGTCTCATTTTAATACTTCTGTTCACGCTAATACAGATAACATCAATGTGGTTAAGTTTCAAGAATGACAGCCAACCTCGCAGCCAGTACTGGCTGGGCACAGGCATGCTCTCCACATTACTATACCACACACGTTATCTAATTAACCTAGGAACTCTGAGGAGCAAGGAAAGACACAGGAAAGTTAAGGGAACCGACCAAGAAACTGTGTGACTAAAACTGAGAATCAAACCAGAGCCTCTAAAGAAACAAATCATTTGTACTTCTGTGCATTACCTCTTTTGAAATTTTATTTCTTGGAAGGTGTACAGTGCCAGAATCTAATAATAAAATGCAGAATTAAATGAGGGAGAGATATGAATGCCAAGAGAGTAAACACTTACTTGGAAATTACAACAAATGCATAGGCATTAGAATGGAACAGTGTAGAATTGGCAACATGGAGACTGGGGCATACTAAAGGAAATCTGCCCCCTTGAGAACAGTTATCAATATGTAGGCTAAACTAGCTAGTGATATTGGGAATACAACCTTCAGCTATCTGTTCGTGAACTATTTTTCAAGAGAAGCTAAAACCGAAGTTTTGTGTGATCTTTTGCAAGTTCAAAGATAAATACAACTACACATCTGTACTTTTGGCTGTAAATATATTAAAGGATTATATATATCAGGGGAACTGCACCTGGGGAGAGATTAAGTAATCACTCCTCTATAATAAATATATATGAACAGAGAAGTTAGTCTGGACTCAATGGTATCACCATACCAATGCATACTAACTTAGGAAGTGGAACAAGCAACTTGATCTCTCTGAGTGCATTTCCCTCATCATAATGTTGTTCAGACATTATTGCTAGATAGACCTGTCAAATACTTAATAAGATAAAAATGTATAAACTCTTTGGAAAAGATTAGGATACAATTGGCCTCATCTCTTCCACTTTCTTCTCTAATATGGAAGGTGGATTTTGAAAGCATGTAGAATAAATTCAGAGGAGGGAACATTTGACAGAAACCCAAAGGAAGGGTATTATTTGAATACTCTGGATGAAAATAGTAGAAAAGGGGTTCCTACAGAATTGATATCAGCAAGCTCCCAAGTGCTGAGGAATGTTTGTTACACTCACCTCTCTTGTATGACCGAGTCACAATGTGATATAAATACCAGAAAGGAGATTAAATTATATCCATATAATATAAGACTTAATTGCCAGAGTATGAGACAGAACTGTGATTAAGGGTGTAGCAAAGAATCACTTTAAAAAAAATGTGGAACGATATGACCAAATTGACTTAAAAAGCCATAATCTTATAGCACTAAATATTTAGGGAAAGATGAATGGTATGGTCACTGAGCTATCATAACTGAAAATAGAGAACATCTGAGAACAATTCAAGAGGTTCATGGGAGAGACCTTGCCAGGTAAGTCTCCATTGATGGAGTCGCTGTTTGAAGAGGGTGATAAAGAATTCAGAAGGATCCAATCTGGCTTCAGATCTAGGATGACAAAAGAGTGAAGTAATTTGGATCCATGAGGACTCAAATGTTTACTTGTTCCCTGGCTGCTTATGTGACTTGGAGCAAACTGCTAGTTTATTCATGTATCTCATAAGAATAAAATATCTAGTACTAGAGTTGTTTTGCTATTTAGATACCGTTTTTAAATAAGATAACCCTGACATCACGAACTCTTGTAATAAATACTAATCTCAATGTTCTCCGTATCCAACAGGGGATCCATTGGAGCAGTATGTAACTTTCTTTGTGCATTTCATAATGGATACATACATTTCATACTTTGTTACATCCAGCTGTGCTCCGCTTGCCTTTCTCCAAAGGAACCTGGCAGCAGGGGGCTGAGGCTGGATTGAAGCTGCTCTGTCTTCTCAAGAAACTTTTCATGGAGAAGCTTTTCTCTTACTAAGTCTGGAGTGCCTTTAAAGGCACCCAAGATTGCGGGACTATGATAATCATAGTTTGTTGAAAACTTCAAAGGTTCTGGATAGTACTACATTAAAAGATAGAAAACCAGGAAGACAAGAACCTAAGAAGAAAATCCTGCATTCCAGAACTCCCATTGCATGATGGTCACTGAGATAGAAAGCAGAACTTATTTCAAAATTTGGGCTGCATGCAAGGTCTTACACTGTCGCTATAAAAATCTTGATGCCAATCTGATCTTTAACAATGGTACTTTTGTATGAAATTCAGTATTTTATATTACAGCTCTATAAACAGTCTCCAAAGTCCTGGTTAGCAATGTTACAGTTGGCTAGATGCACATTATGGTTAATTCCACCTGTGTATACTAGCCCATTAAATGAAAATGCTACCACCGAATACCACTTGACTCAAGGTGTACACGCCTCTCCATCTTCACAAAGGAACTGGTCAATTCCATTATCATCTACTCTACCTAAAGGAAGAGTCACTTCACAGATGGCCAATGTGCTGAGAATAAGTGGTTGTACAGACTCAGCCTTAAATGGAACATCACTGTCACTCCTTCCTCCCCTATGGTTCATAGACTATCACAGAAAAGAATGCAAGAACCAGAGGACGAGGAGGAGTGCCGTGAACACTGTCTTCTGGGTGTGACATGACTATAGCAATCACAAAGGCACAACAGCTATCATTACCTGTGCAAGACCGACACAAGGTCAAGCTCGTTGACATTCCAACAAGAACGTAAAGAGGCTAATATGGCCCCATCTCTAGCTGAGGAACAACTGTGAATCAATGGCAATGGCCACTGGTAGGACTTCCCATGCTCACACATGTGTTCCCAAGTCATGTGCTTATGAGAAGTACTAGTTTGATGCATAGGATATATAATAAGAAACATGAGGTTGGGATGGGGATACCTTGAGGGTGACTGAGGTGAGCTGAAAATGGGCAGAGTGGTATAAATGATCATAATCCATTGCATATATGTGTGAGATTCTCAAAGACTGAGATCCAATTCTTTTGAAAGTGAAATGTAACTATGTTGTAGCAGAAGGGCCATAATCTTACTACCTGATTCTGATTCTAAAATTTTCTAATGAACTTTTATGTCACATAAGTTCTCCTAAGACTTTGCTACCTCAGTTGATAAAATAAATGCAAACATACTTTTGTTTCTTATTTTATAATTGTTTTTGGTTTGAAATGCAAGATCCTTGGTGATTGTATTTCAGCAGTGCTGACTGATACGTTACCTAATGTGTTTCCACTGTGTGTGGAAGCCTTAGGCTGGGGGAAAACATATCTCTCTCTCTCTCTCTCTCTCTCTCTCTCTCTTTCGTGTGTGTGTGTGCGCGCGCGCGCGCGCTTGTGTGTGTATGTGTTTATGTGTGTGTTCTGTGAAGATGTTTCTTTGTGGAAAAGCACTGCCCCTTTGCAGTAGATGGTATAGATGGTATAATTGGTAAGATACTGGAATGGAAAAGGAAAGAGTTCTGCTCTGGGTGCTGCCTACAAAGGATGTTCCCCTTGTGCATACATGGATGTCATTAAGATTAAATTCTAGAACTGTCAAATAAACATTTTCTTAAGGTGCCTACTCAAGGATCTAAATCTTGCCCACTTGGGCGTGAACTTAAGTGTGATTCTGTGCAGAGGTCAGAACCTCCTCTACCCTAAAGAAGCAAACACACTAGAAGTGACCTGGGGGCTTGAGAAACTGCTGGGTATATGCAGTGTGCTCTGCCATATGGCTGGCTTCTCACATCCCTCCACCTCCTTGCCAACGGGCCAGACATGAAAGGAACCATCCGAGAGAAAGGTTGTCTGATCGGGCTCTTCTCTTGGAGGGATGTTCTGCACAGCTGTTCCTCTGGCCCCGAGGCCCTGGCAGGGGCCAGGATCGAAGATCTCCTACTCTGTCTCAGGAGCCAAGTGACAGAGGAAACGAAAGCAGCCTTCTTCACCCAGAGCCAGCTGGCAGCACACTTCATATCTCTGTTTCAGGGTGCAACTGATAATTGACAGGTGATCTATATTCACGGCATTTCTAAGCATAGCGCCTTTTCTCTTTTAAATTACTGTTGAACCTATAGATAGTAATGTCAAAGTGACTATTTAAATAAAGTGTCTTAGATTATGATATTAATATTATAGTGCAAATCAATTAGATCTAAAATTATTAGGTACTTGGACGTAGAGAGACTTGGCCAAACACTTCATTTATGGTGGCCTCTTCAGTCTTTGTAACAATTATTCCCAAAACTAAACATAGAGACATCAAAATTTTTCACAAGTATTTATTCTTTAATAATATGTATATTTAATTTTTCCAGCATTCTAATGTATACTGAAAAAGCACTGAGTGGCATTGGGACCATACACAATAATGAGGAAACATGCTGAAATAACCATTTGATTGAGGAAGAAACTGAGATTAAAAAAAAATATGTGAGTGGCAGTCCCAGATTCTAATACTAGGAATTCTTAAACTAAATTTTTTAATTAAAAGTGATTTATTGATTTAAAGTGATGGCTCGTTGATACCAATATTTACTGTGCAAGCATAAGCATCCATTGCACATCCCCAGAGCTTGCACTGAAAGCTGAGTGTTGGCACACACCTTTAATCTGATCACTCAGGAGGCAGAGGCAAGAGGATTTCTATGAAGTCAAGGCCAGCTTGGTCAGAGTGAGTTCCAGGACTGACTCCATAGCTCCTGGGAATCCCAGTCTGGAAAAGAGAAAAACAAACAAAGTTGAATGCATGTGAATCTGAAGGTGAGGAGAGGGGAGGGGAGCTGGAAGGAGAGGAGAGGGGAGATACTGCCGTCGAGATGTTTTGTATTGTATGAGAGAATAATTTATTTTCAATATAAATAAATACATACAGACCTACATACATGCATATGAACACACAAAAGTGAAAATCTAAGCATGGTGACATGCCCTCTTTACCCCAGAGCTGTAGAAGTCCTGAGCAGAGGGTTTCTGGGACTGTTGGCCTGTTGGCTAGATCCAGGTTCAGTTAGAGACCAATCTCAAGGGAATAAAATAGAGAGTTCGTAGAGCTGGACACCAGATGTTCATGTATTGACTTCCTTTCCATACGTACAGGTACTTCTACCCTCACACACAAGTGTTCATACACCATGCAAATCCTCATACACATACACACAAAAGAGGAAAGGAAAATGATTTATCAAATTTCTACCACCATTTCTAAACTAGATTTTTTTAAAAAAAAAAAAAGCTACCACAAAATAAAAGACTTAGAAAGTAAGGAGAGTGTCCTGAATAATAAAAATGAAACAGAATGCCGAAGAAGCAAGAAATAAAATTTAATAGTAACTTACTTCTTGGCTAGTAGGTATAATGCATTGAGATGTTTTTCATATATCTGTCCCATAAAATACTGAACCCCCATCTTAATTAATTTTTAGTATAAATGATGCAAACAAAATAACACATTGCCTTGTTAAACTTACTAAGTATGTTTATGCCGTTAAACCTGGGATTGGCATCCCAATTTACTTTTGATTGGTTATTGTTAATATACAGGAAGGCCTCTGACTTTACATTAATTTTGCGTTATACAACTTACCGCATTATCAGTTTGAACAATTTTTGGTAGCATTTAGAGTTCTCAGTATATGAAAAACAAATCAGAAAACAGACTCTTGCTTTTTAATTTAGATGCCCTTGGTGTTTCTTTCTTGATTTCTCGGGCTGCATGCTGGCACAAGGTGGAGCGGCGTGATGGATGGGATGAGTTCTTAACTTTGCTTTCTACTTAGAGGGAGACAGACACTTCCACTTCCACGGCTGTGCCTTTTCACACTCGTGGCATTCTTCATACATGAACTTTGTTATTCTAAAGTAACTTATTTCTGCTCCTAACTTGTTGAGCGTTTTATCACTAAATCCGATATTTTTCCTAACATGTACTGAAGTCTTCCCATGGTAATTAGCCTTGATTCTAACCATGTTCTGAATGGCATTGACAGATTTGCATATGCTGCACCCTGGAAATAAATTATATTTGGCCAGGATATATTATCCTTTGAAAAGTATGCTGAATATTATTCATTAATGTTTACTGGGTGCACCTAAGTTTAGCAGGGTCATGAATCTGTGACATTCTTGCATCTTCTTTGTGAGAAGCTTTTTTGCTAAGGTAATGGTAACCTTGCAAACTAAATTGGGATGTGTTGCTCTTCTAATTTTTAAAGAGATTAAGAAGATTCACGGATAACTCATAATTAAATGTTTCATAAAGCTGATCTATGAAGTCACGCAGTCCTGGGATTTACCGTTTTGAGGGATTTTTATTATTGATTCATTCTCTATACTCACTACCTTTTGGTTATGTTTTTCTATTTCTTTTAGACCGAGTTTTAGTAAGTGGTATTGCTTAGGAACTTATTCATTTTTCTGGATCTCTAATTTTTGACATGTAATTATTCAGTATAATAGTGTCATTGTCACTTAAGATCTTTTCCTTTAGCTGGGCAGTGGTGGTACATACTTTTAATCACAGAACTTGGAAGGCAGAGGCAGGCTGATATCTGTGGGTTTGAGGGCAACCTGATCTGCAAGGCCTAGTTCCAGGACAGGCTCCAAAGCTACAGAGAAATCCTGTATCGAAAAATCAAAACAAACAAGCAACAACAACAACAAAAAAAACCCACAAAAGCCTCCTCTTTTTATCAGTAAAACACATCAGTAAATTTATTGAAGTCCTCCTTGCTTATACAATTACAATTGTATTTATTCAATAGGTATCTAGGTTCTCAGGTAAATGTCAACAAATCTTGTTTCCAGGACAACCTGGGCTCATTTTCCCTGGCAGTGTTTAACTTGGCAACGAGGAGAAGGAACACTCTAAGCAATTGCTATGTGCTATTCCAAATATAACAGCTTAACGGAGAACGTGAGTCTGCCTTCTCCAGAAGGAGTGTTGATGTATAAGCAGCTTGCTAGCTCATAATATCCAAATACCCTACTCTAGCAACATTGGTGGGTGGTCATATTGGGATATATCACTTCTGTAATTAAAGTTCTCGCCTCCATCCCCAGACCTGCCAGATCATGGTTATTCCATCAATCCATCTGTTTGAGGTATCCAAACACTATGGAAAAGGACAACGTCCTACAGAAATAAGACAGCAGTTACTGATGACGATCTCATTAATTTCTTGAATGTTTTACAGCTGATTTCTTTCACTATAAGAAGTGGTTAAGTACAACCTGGGCCGTGTGTTTCTGTGAGGATAAAAATATGCTAATGTGTCTCAAAATTATACAGTTAGAAAGAACAGCCCCTGGAGTCATACTGCAATGTTTGACCCCGAGCTCCAACACTGACTTGAACACTGATTAACCTTGAACAATCGGTTGAGCCTCCTCATAGTAAATTTCCCCACATGAAACAGAAAGAATGGGCAAGTTTTGTGCCCCATGGGATACTAATGGGATCATCGACATGATTAAATAAGATAATGCATATCAGGTACTTCTAATTATTACATAGTAATTATTCAGTGTTTTTATAATACCTATTTTAAATTTTTGACATTTCTATTAAAAGAATCTTCCATACAATATATTTTGGTCATGGTTTCCCTCCCCTAATTCCACTCAGATACAAAGAGAGACAGGAGAGAGAAAACTGTGTATAACTTAAAAACCAACAAACCAAAACAAGAAACAAGAAACTCTACAAAACCACAAAATTTGAAGCCAAAATAAAAATCAAAACACCAATAGAACAAAAAAATCCCCTAAGAAAAAAATGAGAACTGTCTGCAAAATTAACATTGAGTTTGTTTTGTACTGGCCAACTACTCCTGAGTATGGGGATTTCTCTGACATGTGATTAATATATCCAGTAAGAATCCATTGGATAAAAAGATTTTACCTTTGCCAGCAAGTAGCAATTGCAGAAAGCTTCTTGGTCAGGAGTGAGAGACGATGCCTACTTTCCCTTCTAAGTATGGAGACCCTGTCTGAGTGAAACCTGTGCAGGTCTTGTGTGGGCTGCCACAGTCTTTGTGAGTAGGTGTGTGTGTTAGTCGTGTTGTATCTAGAAGACACTGTTTTCGTAGCAACATGCATCACCACCGGCTTTCACAGTCTTCCTGCCTCCTCTTCTGCACAGATCTCTGAGCCGTGAGGGGCAGGGTTTGAATGGAAATACCCCATTCAGGACTGAGTGCTCCAAAGCCTCTTCTCTGCACACTGCCTAGTTGTGGATCTCTGTTCTCATCTATTGCAAGTGTAGCTTCTCTGAAGCGGGCTGAGGGAGGTGCTGATCTTGGGGTAAAGCAGTATGTCATTAGGATTCATTTTATTGCTATATTCCTTTTGCAGAGTAATTGTATTAGGCTATTTCTGTAACTTACAAACCACATGACAAACTATTAAATACTGTGTTAGTTCCATTATGACTTTTTTCACATAATAAATTATAAGAAGCCGTCATGTTGGCTGTCCTCACCAAGATGTAGCACTCTGGAGGGCATATTCAGTCTTCCCCCAGCATGCCATTTCTCACAAACCCAGAAACATTTGGAAGAACACTGAATGACTCACTGATGGAAGGGAAGGAGTCAGAGGCATGGAACTGCATGCTGTTCAGAGTGTTTGACATTGGCTGCATCTGGTGTATGAGCAGTTAACCTCTGTAGTATTGCTAGACAAAATACCAGTGCAGTGCTTGCCGTGGAAGGTGCCACATAGCTGGAAAGCAGCACAGAGCCCCTTGCAAGGTTCATTTTTCCTTTCTTTGAGATTCTTGCTCAAATGACACCTTAAAAGTTCTGCCCTAAATTCTTTCTGTAAAATTGCTACCCAGTTTACCTATTTAGAGTACTTTGATTTGGTTTTGTGAATCCCTTTGGTTTTGAATTTATTCATGCGTGCATTTTAGAAATCGGTGTAGAATTTCTTAGCTACACAGTACACGCATGCTTTACAGGGAGATCTTGAGGATGTAATGGTAAACAAACTAGATGCGGGACCTATATTCAAAGAACCAAGTCTAGTAGGAAATACAGGGCTGTGGTGACTGTTTTAGATAGATACATTTTACTTGTGTTCTCTTGTTTGCAGATCTTAAATAGACACACAAAACCATTCATACACACACACACACATATATATATATAATCTTCATACCATTTAAATATATTTTTTGTCATATATATTCAACATATATGACAATATATTTGCCATGTATTTGACATATTCATCACATACATATTTGACAATATAGGAAAAGAATTAAATTTGTATATTATATAGATACATATGTATGTGAATATGCTTAGACATACACAACATACACAAATGCATATATATATGACAAGAAATAATAATTGGCAGTGGGGGATAATGATAAAGAATAGTAGGAATGAAGGAGAAAGAAGATAGGGTGAATATGACCAAAATATATAATATGTCTATATAAAAATAATTTTATGAAGCCAGCATCTTATATGATGAGTGAATTCTATTAAGTAGAAATTATAGAAAATTAAATGATGGTTTTGTGTTCTGAATGCTATGGTGGGCTGACAACAATGGTACAGGAGGCAAAAGGAATCTAGCTAGAGTTTGGAATCTAGATCCTCAAGAGTGATGGCTAATTGGTACTCTGAGATGGGGTGGTGACCATTTGGCTGAAGGAAGATAAGAAGAAAATGTCCCGTTCCTTTTTAAGGGAAGGACAAG